AAATCTGTGTTACAAACTGGTGCTGAAAAATGTCCATTGTATGAAAATAATCGATAAACGTGTTTTAAATGTACACAGGATCAATTAAATCCAAAGCATGCACTGCTCGTGAACTTTGATCAAAACATCAATTACCTACAATGAGAAAAGAAATACATTGTGTGTATTCCATGCTATACATGTTGTCTGTCCAACGTGTCCACCTAAAAGAAAAGAAATAAAAATGCTAAGTTTTCGCTATTATAAAGCCTCGTCACGTGACGCCACAACCTACATGGCGCGAGACAAAGACGCGCGCGGGACCTGAAATAGAACAAAAACTTTCCAAACTAAATATAAAAACTTAACCGGGTAACACAATAATATGGACACCTTACAGAAAGAAAGAAAGAAGGAAGGAAAGAAAGGAACACACACACACACACACATATCAATCAATCATGTTTCAAAGGGGGAAACACCGTTTACAATTGCTTTTTTAAAGCAATTGATTTATATTATAAATCAGCGTTTTTAACCATTCTTATGTACCGTTTATATCACAAAATGTCTACCTGGGACCCCCTTTTGCCCCCCCCCCCCCCTCCATTTTTTTTATACCCTCCACTTACAACTCTTGAATGAAGCTGCATGTGTGCTATCCTGTCAACGGAGACGAACGACAACTCCACTTTTTGTCCTTTAATATTTTTATTAAATCTCTTCTGAAAAAAAAAAATCCACATGTATGTTATGTGATCTTCTCGAAAACTACATGTCCAATTGACCTCAAAATCTGCAGTTAGCAGGGTATACATGTATTAAATCTTCATATAACAACGTTGTGCAGCCACCGCCCAAGAATTTTCGTAGAGAGAAGAAATTGCAATGCCGTAAAAATCGCTTGCTAGCTCCGTAAATGTCAATGAAATCCTACAATAAAATGTCTGCTCCTAGATTAAAATACAAATCTGTGTTACAAACTGGTGCTGAAAAATGTCCATTGTATGAAAATAATCGATAAACGTGTTTTAAATGTACACAGGATCAATTAAATCCAAAGCATGCACTGCTCGTGAACTTTGATCAAAACATCAATTACCTACAATGAGAAAAGAAATACATTGTGTGTATTCCATGCTATACATGTTGTCTGTCCAACGTGTCCACCTAAAAGAAAAGAAATAAAAATGCTAAGTTTTCGCTATTATAAAGCCTCGTCACGTGACGCCACAACCTACATGGCGCGAGACAAAGACGCGCGCGGGACCTGAAATAGAACAAAAACTTTCCAAACTAAATATAAAAACTTAACCGGGTAACACAATAATATGGACACCTTACAGAAAGAAAGAAAGAAGGAAGGAAAGAAAGGAACACACACACACACACACATATCAATCAATCATGTTTCAAAGGGGGAAACACCGTTTACAATTGCTTTTTTAAAGCAATTGATTTATATTATAAATCAGCGTTTTTAACCATTCTTATGTACCGTTTATATCACAAAATGTCTACCTGGGACCCCCTTTTGCCCCCCCCCCCCCTCCATTTTTTTTATACCCTCCACTTACAACTCTTGAATGAAGCTGCATGTGTGCTATCCTGTCAACGGAGACGAACGACAACTCCACTTTTTGTCCTTTAATATTTTTATTAAATCTCTTCTGAAAAAAAAAAATCCACATGTATGTTATGTGATCTTCTCGAAAACTACATGTCCAATTGACCTCAAAATCTGCAGTTAGCAGGGTATACATGTATTAAATCTTCATATAACAACGTTGTGCAGCCACCGCCCAAGAATTTTCGTAGAGAGAAGAAATTGCAATGCCGTAAAAATCGCTTGCTAGCTCCGTAAATGTCAATGAAATCCTACAATAAAATGTCTGCTCCTAGATTAAAATACAAATCTGTGTTACAAACTGGTGCTGAAAAATGTCCATTGTATGAAAATAATCGATAAACGTGTTTTAAATGTACACAGGATCAATTAAATCCAAAGCATGCACTGCTCGTGAACTTTGATCAAAACATCAATTACCTACAATGAGAAAAGAAATACATTGTGTGTATTCCATGCTATACATGTTGTCTGTCCAACGTGTCCACCTAAAAGAAAAGAAATAAAAATGCTAAGTTTTCGCTATTATAAAGCCTCGTCACGTGACGCCACAACCTACATGGCGCGAGACAAAGACGCGCGCGGGACCTGAAATAGAACAAAAACTTTCCAAACTAAATATAAAAACTTAACCGGGTAACACAATAATATGGACACCTTACAGAAAGAAAGAAAGAAGGAAGGAAAGAAAGGAACACACACACACACACACATATCAATCAATCATGTTTCAAAGGGGGAAACACCGTTTACAATTGCTTTTTTAAAGCAATTGATTTATATTATAAATCAGCGTTTTTAACCATTCTTATGTACCGTTTATATCACAAAATGTCTACCTGGGACCCCCTTTTGCCCCCCCCCCCCTCCATTTTTTTTATACCCTCCACTTACAACTCTTGAATGAAGCTGCATGTGTGCTATCCTGTCAACGGAGACGAACGACAACTCCACTTTTTGTCCTTTAATATTTTTATTAAATCTCTTCTGAAAAAAAAAAATCCACATGTATGTTATGTGATCTTCTCGAAAACTACATGTCCAATTGACCTCAAAATCTGCAGTTAGCAGGGTATACATGTATTAAATCTTCATATAACAACGTTGTGCAGCCACCGCCCAAGAATTTTCGTAGAGAGAAGAAATTGCAATGCCGTAAAAATCGCTTGCTAGCTCCGTAAATGTCAATGAAATCCTACAATAAAATGTCTGCTCCTAGATTAAAATACAAATCTGTGTTACAAACTGGTGCTGAAAAATGTCCATTGTATGAAAATAATCGATAAACGTGTTTTAAATGTACACAGGATCAATTAAATCCAAAGCATGCACTGCTCGTGAACTTTGATCAAAACATCAATTACCTACAATGAGAAAAGAAATACATTGTGTGTATTCCATGCTATACATGTTGTCTGTCCAACGTGTCCACCTAAAAGAAAAGAAATAAAAATGCTAAGTTTTCGCTATTATAAAGCCTCGTCACGTGACGCCACAACCTACATGGCGCGAGACAAAGACGCGCGCGGGACCTGAAATAGAACAAAAACTTTCCAAACTAAATATAAAAACTTAACCATGCCAAGAAATTGCCTCCGTTGAAATTCTGCAAATATCCCATAGAGCAAATTACATGGATGATTAATATTGACCATTTGGTATATGGCTGTGTTCTAAGGGACACGTACATGAAGGTCATAAATTAATTTGTTGAATGAAATCAAATCTTTAACTACTAATGGGTGCCGTAGGAGGTCTACCGGAATTTTTAGCTTAGATTTCTTGGCATGTTATGATTTGTTTGGCGTTTGTGACGTCATATTTACCATAGATTAGGAATCTGCCATAGATATGGAACCCACCATAGATTTGAGTCCTACATATATTGAGTCTCTACTTCCTAGAACCCTTGATCCTCCTTGAAGAGAGCAATGTTTTATGAAAGAGATCATAGCAACGGTTAACGAAACTAATATTCCATTGATTTATCGAGTATTGGATGGTACATATTTTATATATTAATGTACAACGAACTCATAAACTTTCTTTTATGTCAGCGAAATCAGAGGACGGGGTAAGTTTCTTTGAAGCGTTGGGGTGAATGCTTTAATGGTATGCCAACATGTCACTGATGATATGTGCATACATTCGTTACGGAAAAAAAACTGGTTAAACTATCATACGGTTATGTTAGATATTAAAACATGTATACAGTTATTACAAACAATTACAGTTTACCTCATGTAGTGTAGCAGTTACAAAGAGGAAATTTAAAAAGCTTAAACAATCCACTGGAGCGTTAAAACTAGGCCACGGTTATATGACGTATGTTAAAAGGACTTTTTCAATGTCACAATGAAATCAATATGTATAGTTATTGAGGTACAGATCTATCAACATATCCCAACAATTGTACTATGAAATTCATGATAGCCAGTACTTGACAAGTATTGCGTAATTATTACGTCTGCGATTTATCAACACTGGATAGTCAAAAGTTTCACCATAAGATAAGATAATTTTTTAAACCTGTTCACTGGCCAATCATTTAAAATGAAAATTATCACGCAAACATTGAATTCATGTATATGTATATATTTTACTGATTTTTAGGTTATTATTATCTTAATTATTTTTATGCTGTAGGTATATACTATGAAGTAATTTTATTTGCATTTTGATTTGTTTTAGTGAATGAATGGAAACTTTTTTGCACATATTTTGTCAAAATTATTAGTGACTTTAATTCAAAAGTGTATTTGCTGCACATAAATCGATGTTGATAATCTTATTTTTATCTCATTTGACAAGCTGTTTATATTTACGGGGAATCAGCGTGTTCCATAGAACAGCCAGTAGAAAAATAAATCAAAGTTGGTACTTGGAGAGTTTATTTCCATAATAATTCTTTTTTTTTCTTTCCATTATTACTATTTTCCAGAACGTTTTATCTTGAGTTTATTATCAGTAACGTCCGCTCTGAGAACTTGCAAAAAAATGAATAATTCAATTCTCAGTGTTTGCCTGTGAGGAATTTTTTTGCCACTATATTCTCCATTGGATGCTACAATAACCACTTAACCAAGAACATATTCATTATTGATTGTTATATATGGACGGAATTATGAAATAATAGCAGATAAAAGCTATTCTTCCGGGTGGCCGGAAGAATAGATATTTTTTGCTATTTTTCCGGCTAGCCGGAAGAATAGCCACTGCCTATTTTAAAAGAGGCGTCGTGAGAAGTAACACAAGTTATAGTGTATGTCTATGTATAACTGGTGATGGAACATGGATTTACCTCTGAATCTGATTTTTTGAGTTTTTTCTCTGTTAAACAGGAGAACGAATTAGAATTTTATGTGATATTATACATCAAATTTAATCGTTTCAGTTAAGTGTCATGACAACGGTAGAGATTACAATATTGGAGAGACCTTTCTGTCGTCTGATGGTTGTAATGAGTGCGTTTGCACTGTCAACGGTGCAGCGTGTACACGCATATCGTGTGGTGGAGCTGGAGTTGAATACACACGTAATATAATTCTAACATTTATGGCATACATTTCGATTTGCATTAAACATAATTATGAAAATAAGGATAATGTAAAATAATCACGTTACACTATATAGCAGGTTTAAGTTATAGCTGAATTATATCGAATTCGATCCACGTGTAGCGCTTTCATGAATACCTATTCACCAGGACCAACCAGCGTAAAATGAGCATGAAATAGTCAGAACTTTGCCCGATGGGATTTTGGCCTTAGTTCTCTTTCTACATTTACAATTCTTCAAATGAGAATCAATTTGTTTACATCAGAAACTATTTTATGTCCCGACAAATGTTATGTGCTCTTCTACTTTCATGCCGCGTGCTACCAATATCTTCCATACATGCATTTCGGCCTTCAAATAATTGTCCGCATTTTGTTTCGTTATGCATGTATATAACTGAGTTTTGATTTGCTTGTAAAAGTATGCCGATATCTGCGTCGTTGGGCCGGATCCAGGATTTTTTTTTTAAAGTGGGGTGCGTAATTCCCTAAAATGTTATATATAGTCCTCTACGCCCCCTCGAATCCGCCACAGGTATTTTTATAGTGAGTCAGATGAAATTCTTTTTACAGAATTACATGGTTATAGATTTCATGGAAATTGTACCCTTCCTTACATTTTCCTTATAATATTACATAGAAAGGATACCATGGATTGTCCAAGATAGAACACACCAACCACAATCACACGACTCCTCCGAAAAATAGACATACAGACAAAACAAACAACAACGAACAATAGATTGTTAATATAGTCTAACTAAGTTTATTACAGCAGGCGGGAACACAGGCGCATGTCTCAGAATTCCCCCCCCCCCTATATACCTTAAGTGTTATATTAAGTATATAGGATTTTTTTTCTGAGACAAGTGCCTGTGGGCGGGAACATCCGTACTGGCTCTCGATTTCCATTGTATCTTTAAGACTTATTAATAAAAAAATTTGGATATAATTGCCTTTATTAAATCATTCACAACAATCCCGAGTGATCTTTGTTGGACAGATCTCATTGCTCTTCTTGTTAAATTGTAGATATTCCACGTTGTTCCTACCATGGTAAAATCTATACAGTAGGTGACACCTTTATGTCAGTTGACGGATGCAACATATGTATATGTACAGAGAAACAAGTGGAAATCTGCACAAAAATGTATTGCGCACCTTCAACCCTGAAGCCACAAGAAACAACAAAAGCACCGAAGTGTACCTACAATGGAAAAATATATTCATACCTTGCCAAATTTAACAGCAGCGATGGATGTAATACGTGCACATGTACAGCCAACGAACAGGTTGCATGCACAGAAAGAGCGTGTCTACCATTAACTACGAAAGTAGAAACACCACTACTGGTATCTACGACACCGCAAACATCAAGTAGCATAACTAAAATTTCTACAACGCCCGTGCCGACTTGTGCCTATAACGGCCGTATTTATAATACTGGCGACCAATTCAAAGCAGATGATGGCTGTAATAGTTGTACATGTGGAGGGAACGAGCGAATAATCTGTACTTTGATGGCATGCCCACCTAAAACTACGAAGATGCTAACTAGTTTAGAATCATCAACACCAGCATCAACAACAATGCATGTAGAAACTACCACTATACATAAGTGTAGTTACAATGGACGAGTATATGACTATGGCATGAGTTTTAAAGACGACGATGGGTGCAATATTTGTATTTGTGGTAAGGATGAAATTATTTGCTCATTAATGAAATGTCCAACATCGACCACAAAAATTCCGACAACAGTTCCAGTAAAAACAACTCTGTCACCTTCAAATGCTCCTATGATCCAAGTTACACCCCCAAAAAAGTGCAATTATAATGGGCGCGATTATGATGTAGGTGTAAGTTTTAAAGCTGATGACGGGTGTAATACATGTTCATGCACAGAAAAGGGGGTTATTGGATGCACCCTAATGCTCTGCCAACCAACAACTGTGGAAGCAAATAACATTTCATCAACAGTTGTATCTAAGAAGGTAACATGTATTTATAACGGACAGGGTTACAACGTTGGCGAAAGTTTTAAAAATACCGATGGTTGCAATACTTGCCAATGTATTGAGAATGGAGGCATTGCCTGTACAAAAATGTTCTGCATATCAACAACTAAACTATCATCTACTCAACCAACAACGCAAACAATAGTAGCAAAAACGCAACCCTTAAGAAAATGCAATTACAACGGGCACATATACTTTGTAGGAGATACTTTTAAGGCTACGGATGGATGCAATACATGTAGATGTACAGGGAAACAAGAAATAGCTTGTACAAAAATATACTGTCCACCAACATCAACAAAAAATTTCATCACAGACGTTACAACACCAACAATTGAAACTACTAATAGATCTCGACCAATGACTACAATCAATCATTTGAAAGTAACAATGAATAAATAACTTTTAAAACACTTACCACAATTTGTTAAATGTTAAAGAGAACAAACAACTACGTTTATATAGGTAGGCACCCAATGTTAACTTACCGTTTGTTCTGGCAGTAACATCAACTCATTGCTTAGTGTGTTGTAAATTTCTAGTTTGTAAATTTTGTAATTACACTAAAACTGAGGGATTAACTTCCTGTGGCTAGTTAGACAAGGCAATTAAGACCCCCCTTTTAAGCTTCCAATGCATGCAACCTCACAAATGTGCCGTATAAAGAAAACTTGAAGATTAACTTTAAAAACAGAAACAAGAGAGGCGAAAGATATCAAAGGGACATTCACACTCATAAGTAGGAAATAAACTGACAACGCCATAAAAATAAAAAAGACCAACAGACAAACAACAGTACACAAAAACACAACATAGAAAACTAAAGACTTGTCAACACGAACCCCACCAAAAACTGGGGGTAATCTCATGTGCTCCGGAAGGGTAAGCATTTCCTGCTCAATTTTTGTCAATCTAATGGACAATTCCTTTGTAGAACAGGCAGATGAGTAGGCAATGTACCGTTTTTTGTATGGAATTTTGTGAAGCTTATGTTTCCAAAACAAACAACACTAGTCATTTTGGGGCCCTTTATAGCTTACTGTTCGGTGTGAGCCAAGGCTCCGTGTTGAAGGCCGTACTTTGGCCTATAATTGTTTACTTTTTACACATTGTGACTTAGATGGAGAGTTGTCTCATTGGCACTCATACCACATCTTCTTATTTCTAAGTCATCAGATTGGCTGTTCAATGTAATGTTCATTGAAGCCATGAAGGACTTATAATTCACCAAAATATCGTCCATGTCAAATGATATGTTTTTGTATGTGGGACTACCTGAGTGCTCACCTATTCCCAATTATTTTACAAGACACTCGTAGTAATACGATTTACATACAAAGACAATATTATTTGAAGCTTTGTCCGCAGGAACAACACCATATTTATCGTGAAGAGATGATAGACATTTCACTGCTTCTTTGTCTCTGAAAACGGCCTTTGGTCAATCATTCACTCAGTTTTTCAACTTATAAATTCGACGTTTTATCAGAGATCTGATTGTTTTGGCCCATTCTGACAAAGTGTTCAGTTCAACATCTTCTTGTTTAGTTCATGCTCTTGCGTAGTCCTCAACGGAATACATGATTATTATGAAATTATGGTTCCATTTTCATGTGTTGGGGTTCTGTGAACTTAGGACCATGAGATATCACCTTTCGGAGATGTTCATGTTGAATTATATTTAGAGCCCCAGTAATAACATGACCAGAGGTGCTGTAAATATAGGGCGAGTGGGAACAATCACATGTCTGAGGGTTATTTAAGTATTTTTCTAAATCAAGGTACTGCAATGCTTATTTATAGTTAAATACTATATGTGCAATGGTTTTGGTGTAACTGTAGGATACAATAGGAACAGACTGATTTTGAAAATAAAGTGGAACTTTAGATGTTACCTCCTTGTGATGAAGAACGTTGCTGATGTTGATTGCACCCATTCCTTTAATAGAAAACTGAACTGGAAGGAATTTCCCCTTTTCATCATGTAAAGGTTCCGATCTTACTGGTTTAAAAAGACGGAAAAGAGCTACATCACAAATTATACTGAACAGTTTGTAATTTGGAGAAAAAATGTATTTTTGCACCCCTTGTCAAGTGCATAATCTCTCAAAAATTTTAGAAAATTAACCGGCAGTGAAAAAAGAATGGTTCTAATGTAATGTAAACCTAGCGGATGATGAAGATGTGAAAGGTCATCAAAGCTCCCAGAGGGCGATCTAGATTTGGAAGACGTTTTTACATTGGGCCGATGGTAATGTTTTTGCCCATGACTACGCTGGTCTCTTAAAGTAGTATTAAATAAGCTCATTACATTTACATCACTGCAGGCTGGACTTGACAAATTTCCTACTACTTTGATGTTATCATTGCAACCATATGGCACTGCAGTACCTAGTTCCCTTGTCCAGAAATTTTCTCTATCTTTTCGGAAAGGAGTACTTAGTATAGGGATATTGGTGTGGTGATAAAATTTCTCGATGATGGGTACTTTCATAAATAAAGAAGGATCATGGCCTGGTTGATTAAAATGGTTATAAAGAACCCCAAATTGCGGATCTTTATTATAAGACCGGTGTTGATTCATTCTTTTGCGCAAAGTTTGTCGAGTTTCACCCACATAAAGTAGTCCACACACAGTACATTCAATACCGTAACTTGCGTAAGCGACATTGTCCGTGGAACAGCCCAGAGGCTCAAAAGATTTTGTAAAATAATTTTTTCCTGTTAAGTTACTAGTGAAATCTGGAGTCGTGATTAACATATTACATGTCTTACACGTGCTTCTCCTTCCTTTTATATGTTTACAAGTAGAAATGATAGGAGTAACAGGTGTCTTTAAACAGTCAAAAATGTTAACAGTATATGGTTTTAATTTTTGAAAAGTATCTGAATTTTTAAAGTCAAAATTACCTTCTGGCTGTACATAAGTCAAATTAGGGGTATCCCGGAGCATATTCCGTGGAACACACAAATCAAATGCTACTGTGTTCCCTGTAGCAGAAGAGGACCTTGGTAACCCGGGCGACGTCCTAACCGGTTTGTTCTTTGTATTCTAATCTTTGTATTCATCATGCATTAAGCTACCCAGTTAATGATGCCCCCGGGGAATAATCCACCAGCAATAAAGATTCTTCAAAGAAAACAAAATAGCATATAGAGAAAGCACATAAGCAAAAATGAATGACACGAATACAAAAAATTACCACAGCACAACACAATGGCGGGATGCATAAGTACCGAGCCACGTCAAAGGATATTACTACAAATGGACTAAACATTAAAGGTTAATAATCTACAAAGACAAATAAAAGAACACTATGACACGCAATTAAGATGATAAACAACGTCAGTACCTACAATCTATACTTCAAGACCATCATGTATTATTTTTGAAGTTGATACGGAATATTCATCAACAAGGTCTTGGTATTTTAGAAAAAGGACGAGACGTTCTTTGACATAACCCTGGTTCATCAACCTTCTGCTCAGACACTGGTGACGTTTTATAAAGTCTGAGTAGCAGCTGCAAGCTCAAGAATACCGAATGAGTTGGGAAATGTATAACCCATATGCTGGTGAAGTTGGTATATTGCTACTAATGTGGCGGGAAGATGCTGATTTAGATTTTCCTGTTCTGACCTTAACATCTCTTTCAGCACCACCTTCTGTTGTTATACAACTTCCTATGTAATTAAATGAGTCTACTGTATCCAGTTGTTTCCCTTCTACAAATATGACAGGCAGTCTCTCTGTGTTGAGGTACATTAACTTTGTCTTTTTGACATTGATCTTAAATCCAATCATTCTAGCATTTTTCTTCTAGCTTTTTGGTCTTTTCCTGCATATGATCTTCGGTATGCGACAGAAGTGCTAAATCATCAGCATAGTCTGTATCCTCAAGCGTGGTACATAGTGTTCATCTCAGTCCGGTGTTACTTTCTCCTAAGGTCGTTCTCATTACCCAATCAATGGCAATTATAAAAAGCACAGATGACATAATACATCGTTGTCTTACTCCTGATTTTACAAGGAAAGTAGTGTCAGCTTCAGAGTTGATGGTACATGAGAAGTTTGTATAGAACTGCTTGATGAGTTGCACTATCTTACTTGGTATTCCATAGTTTCTCAAAATTTCCCAAAGACTTTCCCTGTGTAAGTTGTCAAAGGCTTTTTCGAAGTCTACAAAATTCACAAGCAATTTTCTCGTCCACTCATTGCACTGTTTTAAGATGTCTCGTAGGACAAATATGTGGTCTATGCAACATCTACCTTTTCTGAAACCACCTTGTTCTCGTCATATTTTCTTATCCAAAGCTTCTTTAATTCTTGATATTAAAATTATGCATAAGACTTTACTTGGAATGGATAGTTAGGTGATTCCTCTCCAGTTGTTGTAGTTAGTTAAGTCTTCTGATTTTGGTATTGTTATGATGTTGCCTTCAGACCAACTGTTAGGAATAACAACTTGTTCTCATATTTTCCGGAATACTTGTTGTAAAGTAACCGCTGCTAGCACAGGATCTATCTTAAAAAGTTCTGCATTTAGTTGGTCTATGCCAGGTGCTTTTTTGTTTTTCAAGCTTTGAATGGCTTTCTGTATTTCTTGTTTATTAGGTAGATTTCTAGGTCCATGGGTGCTTCAGGAATAATTGCTAGTTTGTTTGGATCTTTTCGGTTAAGAACTCTTGAAAATGTTCCTTCCATCTTAAGTATTGTTCTCGTTATGTTGTTAGGATATTGTTGTTTTTGTCCATAATTGTCATGTTTGCTTTAGTTTTTTTTACCACTTAGTTGTTTAGTTACTTGGTAAATATGTCCCATTCTCTGATTTGAAGCTGCACTTTCTGCTTCTCTTGCTAAGTCTTCCATAAAACCCATCCTGTATTTACGTGTTGCTGTCTTTACCTTCTTGTTGCATTCTGTATATTTTGTTCTTAGCTTTTCCTTAATTCTCTCAAAATGTAAAATTGAGAATGGAAATGGGGAATGTGCCAAAGGGACAACAACCCGACCAAAACAGCAGAAAACAGCCCAGACCACCAATGGGTGTTCAACACAGCGAGAAAATCCCGCACACGGAGGCGGACTTCAGCAGACCCCTAAGCAAAAATGTGTACTAGTTCAGTGAAAATGGACGTCACATTAAACCCTGAAACATATAAATGAACTAAAATTAAAAAAAAACATACAAAATTATCAAAGGCCAGAGGCTCCTGACTTGGGACAGGCGCAAAAATATGGAGGGGTTAAACATGTTTTGTGAGATCTCAACCCCCCCCCCCCCCCCCCATACCTCTAGCTAATGTAGAATAAACAAACACACAGTAATATGCACAGTAAAACCAAGTTTAAAAGAAGTCCGAGTCCGATGTCAGAATAGGTAACAGAAGCATCTAAGCAAAGTGACAATGATACAT